TCAGAAGTGAGATAATCGTCACGTGGTTTTAGGCCAGCACAGCCCACACACACACACACACATACACATCTTTTTACACCATGCACCACCAAATACCAGGTTTTCCAAGTACCACCACTGTGAAGTTAAAATACAATAGGGTATTCTGACCCTGTTTAACAGACAGCTCACTCAGGAGGCAGGTTTATTCCTCAATGCAACCAGTTCAAGAACTGGGGATAATTTGGTGGAAAAGGGGTGCTCCTGGTCTACCGTTCTCTTCCTAATAGTTCCCATTAAATTAAAATGAATTAATGAAAATGTTGAACATTATTTAATTTGGTATGTAATGGCTACACATTTTTATAATATTGGAGAGTGCAGGAATCCATTTAGGCCCACAGCAATGATAAATAAAAATAAAAATATATAAAATAAAAAATGTTACTCATTTCCATATAACTGTTTGTCAAAGCCACAAAGAGCCACTATAGAGGGGCTATAGAGCCACATGTGATTACCTACTCCTGTACTAAAGGGGGCTCTTGAGGACCAGTATGCTAGACTGATTCAGACCAGTATATCATCAACAAACATCTGAGCTCTGGGCAACAGAGGTGTGTTAGCTTGTGTGTACAGTAAATACGTACATAATAGTGTGTAGAGAAGGAGCAGTATCAGTTTTCTATTGTGTGGAGCGGTCTATTGTCTTAAAAAAAAAAACCTAGGACTCCTGTTTGCTTACAGGTGAAGCTATAAAAAACGTATTGAGCAAATCATATCTAGATTATCTGTAAACCAGGAGAGTAAACTCGGAATGTTCTAGAAGTTGAGTTCTCGGAAATCTGATAATAAACCTTATGACTGATTCAAATCTGTCCACAACCCAGTATGCGCAAGTTTTGCTTTAAACAAAAGGAAGTGGTGCCAGACTCATACTTGGCTCATGAATGATCCATAGTATGTGTGTATGTATAATAAATCTTGTTGTGTACATGTTCAGAGATGCCCTGCAGAACCTGCAGTTATGATGCCTCAGTACATGGCACCGACAGGAGCCACATACCCTCACTTAGCCACACTCTGCCTTTGCTTCAGATTTTATGGGAGCTATATCAAGCATAATGTGAGGTGCCAGTGTTGACTGTCCCCTCTTAACAGATACACATGACTAACTGCTACATAATACTGGCTAATTCATGCTCATAAAGATCTGTGGAATCCTGCCTCTGAAGTTTTTTTGTCTTGGCCTTCTGTTTGGCCAATATCAGCTATAGCAGGCACAGCTGTACTTTCTTTCACACAGGCACCTAAACACGTGCAGCCCGGTAGTGAGTGGAAAAGTACTGGAGACTGTGACTGCACAGCAACCCTCATCACTGCCATCAACAGTCCCACACACAAAGCCACAGTTGCCTACTTAGTGTATTAAATGACGCACATAGCCAAGTGTGAGATTAGACTCATTTTGTGCTGCAAGGGGTTAAGCCTGTTTAAACACATTTAGAGATATATTAGGAGACCAGTGCCACACTATCACTGTGCCATATATATCTTTCGCCAAATTTCTTCTCTTCTCGTTTTATAATCTTCAGAACCCAAAAGCAGAGCTCAGACGAGAGCTTGCAAAGGTTCACATTTTACTGTGAAAATGTGAGTGAAGAGGTTGCGTAAGTAGAGCCAGAATGTCATAGTGGAGCTGGCAGCAGGTAAACAGAAACCGGATGAGGCAGACAGACAGACCAAGATCTCAGGGAGGAATGAACCTGAAGTACAACATCAGGCAAATTCCTTGCGTTGCTACACAAGGAATTTCAAAAGACTTTGTTCGTGGTGCTTGGACCAAGATGACGACCTGACCAATTAAACACGTGTGTGTTTTGTCATAATTACCGGATCAATGCGTTTGTCATTCATTTTGAGGTCACAGTGACCTTTGACCACCAAATTCTAATCAGTTCATCCGATACTATGTTAACAAAAATGGGATGGACGGACAGATGGACAACCTGAAAACATAATGATGTTTGTACACAAATGTACACTATTAATCCAGACAAGTTGACTATACTTAAAAAATTAGAGGCAAGTGATGGCCTTAAAGGTTTTGAGTAACTAAAAATAAAAACACTACTTTGTTTGAGTAACTTGAATGCTAATTGTCACACACTGGCTCTTTGTCCCTCCATCCAGCCACATTCCCACTTCCTCAAACCACTGCCATTCTGGCAAGCAGGTGCCCTTGGTGGAAGGGCTGGTTTGGGATGGTTTCCAAAAGGATTTTTTTTCCCTAAAGGGGAGATGGCATTGATGTGTTTCTCTCCTCTCCAGGAAGACGTCCTGACCTTGGCCTGAGGACTTGGATACCAGTTTTCAAATGACCAGGGTGGGTGACATTTCAGAACAGCTGCAGAGGACCAGTTAACAGGGATACAGGGGCATCACTGGGACAGGATACTAAAGTTTTTGAGATAAGAGGAATAAAAAGGAGAATGGAGTGAAACTAGAGGTGAGAAGGGTAGAGTGGTCATAACATTTCCTCATAGCTGTCTGGTCCAGGATGTTGTCCGACCTTGGGTATTTTTATTTCTCCTTTAGCTGAGCTAAGGGGTGTTATTCAAACATGCTAATGCAATATTAGACTGACTATGGACTACTGCTTTTTGCCTGTCAGATTAAGAACAACATTTTGAACTCAACCAGCACTAGGGCTCTGCTAATGTTAATGTTACTTATTTAAATAATTAATTCATATTGTTACTGTTGAGTCCAATTCATCTTTTTTCTATTTATTATTTTTAGGATTTTTGATTTGATTGAGTTTGATTGAAGTACTATTCAAACCCTACCCTGGACTGTACCTAGAAACAATATTTAAATGTGTTTTTGTTTTTCATGGAAACTATCCGTAACTACCAGTAAAATACCAATTAGCTAGGGGACTGCTATAATTAAGAGCAGTATCCTTTGCTTTGAAACCTGAGCACCTTCCTCCTAATTAGAGGAGTGTGTTGATTACATCCATCTGTTATAGAATGTAATATATGAATGTAAATAGAGTGAGAAGGAAGCAATAGCACTGTCCTTTTCCTCTGCAGCCTTTTCACAATTACTTTTAATGGAGTTTATTTAACCCGCTCTTTCATTAAGTCAGCGCAATAAAAATTTGCACCAGAATAAAACGTCACAGCAGTCAATCAAAGATCTGCTGAGGCTATTTTCTATCTCACTTTAGCATTTGATTCTTTACAGAGGAAAGCTGAAGCAAACAGTTTTAAATGTCTGAAAGCTGAATCAGGGTCCTATGGTCATTTCTCCAGTGAAAAATGTTGGACAAACCAGATATTAGTGAGATCTCTCAGCCTGAAAAAACCTAGCTGAACACAGTGGAATAACCCCAATATCCACCAAACAGAGTGACTACCAGGCTCAGCCTTTTCAGTCCTTTACAAAATCATGAGCATAGAGAAGCCACTCAACATAGTTGGTTTTTAGCCCCAAGCTCAAATGTCACCTAAGAGACAAACTGTTGGACCAGAAGGGATAAAACGAAACTTGGTCATACGAGAGCATTTGCACAAGCAGTCAGTATTAATAGTTCTGTTTTGAGTGTTAGGCCACCAGTCAAAGTGCTGGTCTTTGTGTCAGTGGAAGTAATACACAAGCTTCCTATTAAACAGTATATTAAACTGCACGTGCTGAGAACAGAGCAGGTTGGATTAAGTTATAGACAACATGCTCATGTTAAACAGCAACCGAAACTTTATGACAGTTTATAATAAACACATATAAACTGTCATAAAGTGTCTGTTGCTGTTTAACATGAACATGTTGTCTATAGAACCACTAGAGGTCACTAAGTCTGAATGGACCAGCCTGTCCATTTTGGGAATTGGACATCACAGGAACCATTTTCACTGCAGTTGACAATTTGACTGATATCACATCAGCAATCTAAGGTTAGGGTTAGCATTTACTGTCATTTTAATTTTATTTACTATAATTTGCTGAATGAGAGATTACCAAGATCATTATCATATCAGGTCTTACTTGACTCAACTGTGTATCATCAAATTACTAATTAAGACTTGCTTCACAACATAGCAGTTCTGCTTGACCTGGGCCTGTTTTAACAGGACAATCCACTTCAGTCTCCAAAAGTTTAACAGAACTAATAAACCACAGCTAAGCTATGAACTTAACTGGTCACTCTGCCTGAGCCCGGATGTTTTTGTAGCTATAAAAACGAGTTTGAAGGCTCATTGAAACCATGCCTCAGGCCATACCCTCCTTAAACAGTCAAACAAACAACAATAAGAGCCGGCTCTTTCAGCTCCCAAACGGCTCTTCATTCAGTGCCTTTTCTGGCTTTTATAAATAGCCTGTGATTGATATGTGTGCATGCATTTCACTTAACCTTATAATCATTTACATTCCTTAATCATTATGCTTGGCATTAAACCTTAAATAATGTAAAAACATCAAACACTATCACACATTTGTATTGAACATTTTCATTTTTCAACGTGTCTGGATTGTATATAACAGTGCACAGAATCTGTAAATACCTGTCTAATACTACTGCATATAATTGGTTGATGCATTTATATGTAACGCCAGTAAAATTACATTACTTACAACAATATACCAGACAAATAAGTGTAATGAATATAAAGGAGCCCTGTATCATTGTATGGGAATGAGGTGAAATAATGGATTTTTGGAAAGAAGTTAAACACGTGCTGGAGAGGATCACTTCTGTAGAGGTCCCTCTTGATCCTAAGATTTACATTTTGACACTAAGAAGGAATATACACTTACAGATATGTATATCCTGCAAGCCAAATAGCTCATTGTTCTTTACTGGAAGAAAACAAATATCAAGTATATCAATATCAAAGAAATGTGTTTGAAACCTGGAAAAATGCCAGCATTAGAGGTACCCCAACATAAGGAAACCCTATACTTTCATGTAAGACATGTAAGCATCCCCTCTGAGACACAAATGGCAATGAGAGTACTAGAGTTTACACCTTTTTTATTTTAAATGTACATTTTATTTATCTATATCTTTTTTTGTATATTTATTTTGGTACAGTTTGATGTCCTGTTTTTGTGCTATTGGGAAGGGTCTGGGAAAGTCGGGTGGGGGGTGTGAGACATCGTTGGTCCTTGTCATTTGTACTGAACAAATAAATAAAACAAATAAACACTGTAAACAAAAACACTTAAGCCAACAGAAACTTTCTTGCTTAATCTTGTTTTAGTTTAGCAGTTGGCTAACAACAAAAGGTCCATGCTGTCACCTTTCTAACTGTGTGGTTGATTTGATTACTTCTGATTGTATGTTATGGACAGCAAATTGCTCAATACTTGTAAAGATGTTGAAATACAAAAAGCTAATGCTAACTCCTGCACTGAGACCTTGATAAAATCACTATTTTACATTCATGCATTCATGTGAGTAAGCAGAAATGTCAAAGATAAACAGCTGTATTATAAGCTGTTGCGTTATTGTGAAAAATGAAATGAAGGGGAATTAGCAGTGACAGTAGTTGAACAGCATCACTGGTTTTTCTTCCATACTTGACAGACAATTTGTGGATCCATATTGTGGATGGAAGACCCCCTGGATGTTTTAAACAGAGTACACGGCACAGAGGATCGGTGCAGTGTGGGAAAACATGGGTAAACTGAAGACCAGCTGGGCTGCTGCATTCTGGATGAGTTTCAGGGGTCGGATGGCACATGCAGGCACACCAGCCAGGGGCGAGTTGCAGTAATCTATCGTGATGACAAGAGCCTGGACCAGAATCTGTGCTGTCTTCTGGGTGAGGAATGAACTTCTGATCCTGATAGACCAGAAAATTAATGGAGAATTCATCTGAAGGAGTGGGTTGTCACAGCAATGTTGGCAGCGACAGACAGCTGGTCACCCTGTATCACACCCAGGTTCATTGCAGTCCAAGCCAGGGACACAACTGCATTCTCAATGGTAGTGGAGAGGTCATGGATGGGAGATGAATTTCCTGGAAGGAAGAGCAGTTCAGTTTTATCAAGGTTGCGGTCTTACTTAAGAGCAGACAAAAGTATGTATTTGTTGGCTCTAAACCACAAGAGGTATTTTATTGTTTATATTCAAAGAGCATATAAGCTGTCAAACTGGAGTTACTTAAGTTGCAGTGAACAGGGAGCTTAAAGGACTAAGAGCGTGTCTTTACCTGTAAACAATGTGTTTAGAACAAAGTAATGTGCTGACTTTTATCTATAGATGAACAGTGTAAGAACTAGTTCTGCTCACTAATTGGGACTATATAAAAAGGGATATTTACAAAGTTGGACAGACAGGACTTTGACATTTTAGTCAATATGCTTTTTTGCTTTCTTGTTAAGAGTAAGATGAGAAGATTGATACCACTCAAAACTACATTACAACTACCAGCCGGTTAGCTTAGCTTTGCTCATCATAAAGACTGAAAACAGAGAAAGTGCTGGCCTGGCTCTGTCCAAAGGAAACAAAATCTGTCCACCAGCATCACCAGAGCTAACTAACATATTAAATTTAGTATATAAATAAAGTTATTTACATATTAAAGTATTTGTTTATTCTGTAACCGTGTTGAAACTCTTAAGAGTTCTACCATATGTTATTACAAACTAATACCAACAAAGTCCCCTTTGTTTTCAACAGTTTCAACCAAAGAATATACAGTATGCTTACTTTTCTCATCTATTTTTTCTACGACAAGAGGGTTCCCCTTCAAAACACAAGTCCACAAATGAATAGGTGAATGAGGCGAATGTATAAATAAATACATAGTTTTATTTTAACAACATTTCAAAACAATATCTTTATTATTACATGTTCTAAAATATAAATATTTTCATGTAGTTGCACAAAAATAGAAATCTCCTTAAATGTACTCCACTAATTAAGGAAGGGGGTTGTGGCTAAATACAGTGCAAGCAGCCTGCAAACTATGCTATCCAACACTGCAAAGCAGCAGACAAAAAACAACAACCAAAGGCACACTAAGAGAAAGGAATGCACAAGAGTTTACAGAAAATCACTTGCAGTACAATATGTTCCATACTAACACTGGTGCAACCTTGCACCAAGCTACAATATTGCAAATACAATAGCAATCACAAAAACTATAAAGCTACAATCCCTCCTAATCTGGCTGGAGCAGAGCACATAGGACAGCTAGTTCAAGCATCTCTAGCCAACCAGAAATATAAGCAAAACCAGAACCCAATGAAGGCAAATAAAGGCTGAAATTAATGCAAACTAAACTAAAGGCAGGCTAAAGGCTATGAAGGTCTAAACTCAAAGCAGAAAAGCAAGGCAAGACAGCAGTGGCAATCTCAGCTATCCATAACCAACCAGCAAAACAGCAGGGAATCTCTCTGCACTCAACAGCAAACTCTGAGCCCGATCCCTCGGCACGTCCAAGTGAAGGCATGCACAACGCGGGACAGTGTCTGACCAGCTTTAGCTTCATGTTTGTCATACAGACACAAGAGTTTAGAGCGAGAAAATCAATCTCCTCACATCAGTCTCTGCAAGAGATGCACAATATAAAGGAAGTGTATTACCCAAAATGTAAATTTTAAGCTGAAAGCCAGCACGTTGACCTTGTATCCACTGTTTCATTTAAATTCCAATGTGCTGGAGAGCTAAAACAATGAAGCATTATCACTGTTCTAATACTTGTCCCTGTATGTTTATCGAAGTAAAAGCAACCTATTAGTGAATCTAGGACACAGCTGTCTTCCTGACAGTTTATCTTTACTCACTGAAACCAAGCGAGAAGGAATTTTCACTGAGAACAGGATCCCAAAGCAATGTTACTTGTGGCTGAAAGTGGCAAATGAAACTGTCACAGACCTGACATTAACGTTGTGCCTTGGTCCGCGTGCCTTCACAGTGAGGAAATTAACACTGGCCCCTGAAATGTTGCACTCAGACTGCTCTGGACCACAGTTTCTATTTAGACTGTCACTACAGAATTCAATTCTCAAAATAGAATTAAAATAAAACACAAGACTCGTAGAGGTTACTCTCCTGGGGTTTGCAGAGCAGTTTGCAACTCCTCTCACTCGCCAGCAGAACAGCACAGAAGACAGAGGAGCTAGAGTCCAAGCTTGGGCCTAATGTCTGTTTAAATCAACAAGACTATCTGAATGCTTATAGTATTTTGCATTTCTACTATGTCAATATTTAAACAAGAGTCTACAACCATAGTGTGCTATAGCCTCAAGGTCTTAAGCACAAGAGCGCTTTGAGATGAATGCTAATATCAGAAGGCTAAACGGGCCTTTCCACTGGCACTGTTTTGTCAAACTATGTCGTGCTGATTTGCGTTTACACTAGTTTAAATACACCAGTGTCTACACCAGTTTAAATATGCCGAATCGCTGTCGAGATGGACCATCTGCGGAGTTGGGTCAAAGCGTTCCTGACGCGCCTCTAAGGGGGTTCCAGTGACATCAGATGGTCTTTGTCATCATTCAGGTTATCTCTGTCTCTTTTTGAAGCAATATGTGGTAGATGCCAAGTAAAATTGTGACCACAGCCTGAAAATCCATGATTATAAGTAGCTGGTTACCAACAATCATAAAAAGAATGGTGATTTTCAAGCAACTTTAAGTATGTAATGTAGGTGCACCTGATTTCCTAGGATGCTACAGAATCATGTCAATCATGTCAACCTGTTTCTATATAGTTTGTCAATAGTTTTGTATTATTAAAATAAAAAACATTTCAGGTTCAGCTGTCAGGCTGCCAGATTGCCTCTGTTACAACACAGGGAACACAGGCGCAAACTTGCGTTGCAAACTTGTGTTGAGATGGCTGTAACGGTTCGTGTATGGTATCATGGTATGTAGAATGATGCACGGAACCAAAATTCAAAAGCGTACACACAAAAAGTTTTTGTTTTTATTACTCTATTTATCTAGTATTTTCAATTTCATAGCATAAGGGATGCTGTTTAGTTTTATAGCCTTTTGTGACCTTACTGCCTTCTGGGAGTGTTTGTTCAGTATTTGTACAGTGTAATACAAGAATGTTTCTTATTTTTATGAAGAAAATAGTATAACCCTAATAGCAACCATTGTTGCCAGTGGTCAAAATGCTACCTCAGTTCCCAGCAGGAGAATTTTTCTGTCTTTGACACTTGCATTGCTGTCTGTTCAAAATAAATGAAAAGAAACATACCCTTTTGCATTTGTTTTTTCCCCCCCCAATATACCAAACTCGTATCAAAGCGTGACTCCAATCATACCGTCTTATATCCCCAGCAGCTACATGACATGTGCAGACAGTGTGTTGTTAGTGGTATTGAAGAGTATGGAGCCATTGTACTTTTACTGCCTGCATGCTTCTAGCAGCTTGCCCACCATTCACTAGTAAAGTCTAAATGTTTGGAAAAACTAATTTATATTTACAACTTGGCAATTCAATTCATTTATTGGCTCACATGTTGCATGACTCACTAAGATAATTTAGACAGCGAAGACAGTAAATTGGTTTCAGCCTTTATTCTGACAGAACATCACCCCATGGGGATTTACATTAACCCATTACAAAGTAGGGCCTTGCCAAGTGGCAAGAGAGAACAGCCTTCACAAAAGTTCAGTATACAAACAACACAGTTTATGACAATAAACATGCATAATAGTATAAAACCAAATACATATTAGGGGAAAATACTATACAAAACAACTGTCCAGTACTTTTATAGACAATGTTTCAGTAACCCAACATGGAAAATTAAACACTTCTCCTCAAAAAGTGATGAAAATGCACAGATGACGTCACTGCCATCTTACACTATATTGTGGACGGCTTCTGAGGACTGCTGGAAGGTTTTCTTCCATCGTGTCTGGAGTGTTAGTTCTACAATGGCTATTACTTTAACTCATCAATATGTAACAGGTTTTTTCCGGTGTACAACGCATACCTGTTCAGAATCACCACTGATACAAATCAACAGTGATTTAAACATGTGTGAAGGTGAAATTACATTTAATGTTCTGCAAAATTGAAGGTGAATTTAATGTGACTTTAAACGTTACTAAATTGAGATAAAATACACATTTCGTATCTTTCTTCTAAAACTCAACTCATAGAGATCAACTTTGATAAAAAATAAAAAGTGTAAATATACAAATCATGATTAGACTGTACAGTACAAGAGTATAATACAGGTAGAAATCACAATCACTCATATAAAAAGATGGATGCATTGTGTCCTGTTATGAGACGGTTTGTTCTGTGCAATTAGTCTTTGGAAAATGACATTCATACAGTATGCTTTGGATAGATGTCAGAATCATACGTTAAAGTTTTGTATACTTTAAGTCAACATTACCAATCCATGAGGTATTTAAACAGTGTGAATATACACCCATTTTAGAATGAACAGCAAATTGAAACTATTTTCCAGTGATATTATTAAGGTAACAGTATGGTAGAGGAAGGCTTTCTGACTGTCACTGAATCTCTTTGCTCAATAAACTATGTAGGCTCAGTACAACACAACATAAATAAAAAAACACAAGGCTCATTGAACAGTCTGTTCTCAAATAAAATCTAATTATTAGAAGGGAGTAAAGTTTGTACTGTTGTGAAACTTTAATGTCATTTCTTAGAATGGTTGCTGCAAACATTTTCACCACCACAGGGGAAAAAAAGATCCCACTATAAAACTACAGCTGTGCAGAGAGTATTTAACAAAATAAAACTTTATAGTACAAAGTCAATGACAGACTGAAAGGCACATCTGTCACACTGACGGACGGAGAAGAAAAACGAGGGGGAGGAATGGGTGAGGAGAAGGAAAACGAGGGATATGTCTGGTGTTCTTTCTCTCCGCGCAGTTGTAGAAAACTGCTACATTCAGTTATCTATGATGTGGGTAAACTGCAGTTGAGGGGAATGGGCTTACATTGACTGCGGGATGCTGGGAGATCGAGTTCTGCAGTTTGGTCTCTCCCTGCTGCTATTCACGATAAAACAAGTCATTAGCACAAAACCACTGAGGGTTTAAAAAGCCTGAAATAGTGTTTGTGTCTCTTTAGTCCGAGGGTTTTTGGTGGCCATTTGTGAGTTTCAATATTGCTTTCACGACAAAGCCACCAGCATTGCACTGCAAACCAACTCAGAGCAGTCAGACAGGGTAGGACACTTTAGTCATCCATAGCTGGGTGGTTTCAAATGTTGTCACAGTGTGGTAAATAGAAGAAAAATAAAAACACTTGCTGGTGTCTATTGAGCGCTATTTGAGTTGGAGGTAAACATTGCTCTGTGAAAATTTACTTGCAATAAAACTATAAATCTTCACATCTTGCATATATTCACACAACTCTGATTATTCGGAAAACAGCACAGTCTGTCATTTAAAAAAAGTCTATAATGATTATATATATATATATGTAATAATTTAGACAAAGTGAAAAATTATCTTATATTAACAAGAAAGCCCAGAAGAATTACAATTGTTGTATAGCAGAGGCAGCAGATCAACTAGAGAAAGGAAGAGATCAGATCACAATCAAATAAACTGTTAAATAATAAGAATGACTTTCACAAATGCACTGTGGAACAGTGCAGACCGTGCACTCGTCATTTCTTTGTTCTGGTAGGAAACAGAGCCCTGTCATGCTGCACATAGCTGCAAATCATTAACAGAGGTTCACACTGAGAGAGAAGTTGGTGCGCTGACAGTACAGTGCAGCGCCGTGAGACACGAGCTGAGTCATCGTTTTTCAGTTAATGTTGCATACAAATTTTGTTTGTTTGAATTGTAAACTGTTTAGTCATCATTCTGCTGGATTAATTGTGGGATGAAGTCCATTTTATGTGCGAGTGTCTTTTGTCATAAAGTGTTCTTTAGGAACTGGATCAGGTGTGTCAAAGATCTCAAGGTGGTATCTCAATTCCTCAAAATGTGGTTCAAAATACAAGTCGGTTCTTTTTTGAGTAGAATCTACTGAATAAGAGGTATTAGTTGTATTATTGTGAACATTTAACTTTAAATCATGTTTTGCTTTTTCAAATGGAAACGAATTTAAATGGCTTGATGGCTGAACTTGCCTCCGAGTTCAGTGATAACGAAATAAATATACATGCATTATAGAGATATGTCTCTATAATGCAGCACAATCTGTAGCATTTCATTCTGGGTCTATGGTGTGTAAACAACATACATTTTATGCTATGCTGGGTAATGGCTTGTTTGGTAATGCAACCTTTCCAGGGAGCCTATTTTTACTGTATTCTCTGTGGAAGACAATGAGGCAACTGATGGAGTAGGGTGCCAGAGAGCTCAGATTGCCTTCTGCTAATGTAAATGTCATTTCCACAAATTCACTGTGATATTGCACAGCATCTGTACATAATGTCCAGCCTTTGCCGTTGTTCCCCCTGTGTGAACTCCTGCTTAGTAGACGAACAAACACGTCCGCCTCCCAGCCAGTGCCCATCTTCTCTCCATCTCCGTGAGCCTCTTCAGCAGCTGGTGGTGGTGGTATCCAGTAGCTGTTTGGCCGCTGAGCCTTCATCGGTATCAGAGTTGGTCCTCTTCTCGTCCGCGGCACTTGCTGCGGATGTCTGCTTGCGTTTGATCTTGAACACATCCCACCTCTCGGACAGCAGACCCTTGTTGAAAATGATGGACGCCAGCCAGGAGAAGAGCAGAATGGATGCGAGTGAGATGACCATGATGGCTGTGCGGAAGGGGAAGTACTGGGTTAGCTTTCCCTCTTTGTCCAGACGGCAGCCGGGGAACTTGATGGCTGGCGGGAGGCCAATGAGTGGCTCGCCACTCAGGACCCTCATGATGATTCCCATCATGTAGCCCACAGAGGCTCCGTACCCGTTGGACACCTTGAAGAAGAGGACGCACACCAGCTGAGGGAACATGATGGTGTAGGACATGTCCACACCCACCAGCCAGAAGACCAGGACACTGCTGTCCAGGAAGGTGAGGGCCGTGCCAGCCAGGCCCACCACCACTACTGAGATACGGATCACCCACTGCATCTCACGGTCTGACGCCTGAAGGCATGAAGAGAATGACAACAAGAAAAGACAAACAGAGTTAACATTGACTGTTTACCTCATTATACAATGTAATAGGACTGCAATTAACAATTATTTACATTATTGATCAATCTATTTTCTAGATTAATTGATTAGTTGTTTGCTCTATAAAATGTCAGAAAATAACAAAAAAAGTCCATCCCAGTTTCTCAGTTGTTTTATCAGTCTAAAACCTTAACCTTTTCCATATTTGAGAAGCTGAAAACAGCATTTCTGCCATTTTTACATGAAAAATTACTGGCTATTGTTTTTCTCTCAATCAACTAATTGATTAGTCGACTAATAATTACAGCTCCACAACGTAAGGATCTAAGGATCATCTAGTCCCCTTACAAGGACACAGCGCCCACATTATAAGAGCCCAACAGTGAACTTACTCATTACATGGAACATTCCTTTGGGGTGAAATAATGAAATACATCATTGTTATAAGAGTGCAAACATCATAAACATGAGTCAGTCTTAAACAGTGGGCCTACTGTACAGTATGTACACTACTGTAAAGTCAATAGCTACTTTGTTGCTGCCTCCAGCTTATGCTGTTAGTGACACAGGCTGTTAGTGTCTTGTGGCTAACAAAAGACAGTTTGATGATTGTCACTACAGGCATTTGATTTTCAGTACATTATTACTGTAAATATATGTCTGCCTCAACACCCTTATGACATCTCCTGGGTCACCTACAACATTACACAACTGTTTTATAAAATGTCCATTTAACTTCACCTGATGGGAGCTATTTGTTGCAGTTTTGGTTTTGAATATAAGAAGGTTTAATAGACTATACTGTCCTTCAAAGCCAAAACACAGTACGTACATACAGAATTTGATTATCTTATCTTAATCCAAAATCCTCACTTGTTTCCTGAGAATGTTCTTGTAGATGTTTGAGGAGAACAATGAGGCAGACGACAGAAGAGCCGAGTCCATGGAGGACATGACAGCGGCAGCTACAGCTCCAATGCCCAAGACAGAGATGTAGGTGGGAGTGAGGTACTGCAGGGCGATGGGGAGGATGGAGCCTGCCTGGTCACGCTCATATGGGGTGGGCAATCCATAGCTTGTTGAGTTCCAGTCTGGCAGGAAGAACATATGCATATTTGGGTTAAGACCTGAGAAATGTTTGAAATACTGGAGGGGGGGACTAAAGGAATCAAGCGTGAAACAGGGTTCAACCTGATAAACAGAGCTCTGAGCTGACAAGTTCCAGAGTTGTAAGTTAAGACTGTGTACCTGTAGACGCAGCCACAGCCCCGACGATCACGGAGGGGATACCCAGCACCAGGCAGAAGCCAGAAGAGGCGAAGCAGGTCACTTGAGCCTGGGTGTAAGATGAGGCGGACAGGATTCTTTGGTAGAATGCCTGGTAGGCCAAACCGCCCAGAGCCTGGAACAAACACACAGTTCAGGCATGATGACACGAACCAGTTTGTACAGCAGTAGAGGACAGGACGGAACAATCTTCTTACAACTTTGTTGTTGTTATGCTTGGCTCATCTGATAAAATAAGCCCATTTAATTAAACTGCTAAGAACTGCCATGTTTCTACAGTAGCCCAGATTGGACAAACACTGGCACTGGATAGGGGAGAGCGGTATTCAGTTGGTACTACACATTACATACTGGTCCTTTAAGCATATAGTCGAACTGCTTGAACCCCGCTACAATTTTTTTCCCCATGTGTGCATGTTAGTCCCTCCGTTGTGTCCGCACTGTATAAATGAGTATCACTGATATTTGTGTCATTTATTTGTGTTAGAATTTTGCTTATTGACAACATGCCAGTATTTGGGGGCCTTAACTGTTACAAATGGTGGCCAATGAGCCTCATGTTGTTTTTCAAAATAAATAACAAAAATATTACCTAACTGTGACCTCAAAAACCGAGTTAGGGGATTTAGTTACTGTTTGACCCCTAGTAAATACTTCATAACACAACATTTAGTGCAGTCTGTGTGTATATAATAACCTCTCCCACTTCACTCACCAGCAGCATGAAGTCGTCAAACCACTTTCCGGCCTCGCTGAGCTCCACCGTGCCGACCCAGGGAGCCTGGAAGGTCTGGTTGTAGGCCGTCAGTGAGATGTCCAGAGAGTTAGGGTTGGTCAGCAGGAAAGGAACACACACCCACTGTACACAAACACAAGAACACAGTTAATCTAATTATGGGCCCAGTGGGGGAAGTTTTCAGTCTGTTACTGGAAATTAGGAACCTGAACCTGTTTCTCAGCGGTGTACAGTCAGCGCTCAAAATTGAGCCACAACTGTCCTGTATTCTACCGTCCACTGTCCCACTTAACAACCTTTGTCCCAAATTGAAGTTCTTTTTTTCAGTCTACATAATGAATATAGTTTAACACTATTTACATATGCTGTAAGCTATTATAAACATCCTAATCCAGAGGTCTTGAGTGAAAGAGTAAGCGCAAGTGTGATGTGACGTAGAGTCTGTGCCGGTGCCGGCTCTCATTTTTTCAGATTTTAACTATTTGAGATATATCATACATTTTATTTGTAATGATACATTTCCGACGAGTATGTTCCTGTCTGCGAGTAGTCACCAAGCTAGTAAAACTACATACCTTAAAAAGGCATAAAACCAACACTTTTGAATTTGAGTGAGGGAAACTTCAAACAGACGTCAGTACATTTTTTCATTTAGCAGGTAATTTAATCAGCTAGCATGGTTAATAAGCTACCGGGTAACCTCTGCTGGGCTCTATATTGAAAATTGATCCCTCTGTATTCTTTCATGTACTTGTTTATACTATGTAGTTGAGAGAGCAATCTGATAGGACACACATGAATGATATTCATCATTCAACAGACGAATAGAGCTGAAGCTCTAAAGTTCCCCGACCCGCTGGTTCAAAATGGCCACTGTGTGAAAGGGCCGATGGATGTTACGCACCAGACTGACAAAGATGAGGATGAGCTGGATGACATCTGTGTAGGCCACAGAGTAGAGCCCCCCCAGCAGTGTGTAGATTATGGCCACCACTGAGGAGATGACGATGGAGTAGATGTAGGACAGGTCCAGGATCACGCTCATAGTTCCACCTGGAACAACACAGCAGAGCGGTGAGCATCGGAGGACTGACTGAAACAAAAAGTCTAAGTCGTCTATTGTAAAGGTGTTGGTTGCTACAGATACATGCAACTGCTTACTGTGGTAGTTTAATTGGTTTATTATTACGTTCTCAGAACTTCATTTTAATTATTATTATTATTATTTTCTCTCTCCCACAGACACACACACCTATACATGCATCCACTTATGTACTAATACTAAGGATTTACTAAGAAGCTAGGCAATGACATTGTTATAGTGTTCATACGTCTTAATGCAGTATTTTCCAAAAAACACTTTACACAAATTACACTTCTAGTCATTTAAGTCAAGAATAAAGTTATCATTAAGCATGGGTGGCTTTGGTTTAAACCTTTAAAAAGCATCTAAGAGCTTAGATAAAGCAACAAGCCAACATAAAATTGATGATGATATAATTATAAGAAACAAAACTGTACAGAGACACGTAACAAAAGCAGCCTATTGATTGTGACACCAAAATATTCCTTTTTCACCCTCTTGAGTGAATTATCACCCTTGTAATAGTGGTAATTCTTAAGTAAATAAGATCAAGAAGAAGGTAAAGAGAAGTGTCTTCAACTAGTGAAACAAATGTGTATGAAATGAGAAAACTATATTTATAAGTAAATGTAAACAAATTAATAAAAAGAAAAGACATCTTGTTACTCAAACAAGGCAAGCAAAACGTCACTACCTTCACCGTCTCTTCTGCCACATTGCCAGGGTCCCCCCAGCCGCAGCCTGCAGCCACACCACAACAATGCCCTTAAACAGAGAAGTGTCAGATCGGCACCATCGATCGCCACTCATCACCCCGCTGACCTCACCCACCCCCATACCGACCCTGCCACCCTTAAACCACCCTGTCTCATCTTCCTGTCTACCCCACTAGCTCTGCACCATCTTGACGATGCATACTTGACCGTTTCAGTTTGAGCTCTGAAATCTGAGTTTGAAATTTGATCTGTTCTCCCGGAAGCTTTTAGTCACCTTCTTTTTCGCAGCTGCTTTATCATATTATCTAAAATAGTTCGTTTTTAATCTTTCCTTTACAGAGACTAATATCACTTAGGAAAACAAGATAGTAGATACTACACTTATTAACCACCTGTTCACACTTGGCACAAAAATGCATCTTAGATAAGATAAGTACAGGTGGTAATACATTTAGAGGTGTTCAGTGACGCAAATGTATTCATGACCACAGTGAACTGCGAACATTGAACAATTTTTTTCTCATTTTAAAATTCGATCTGTACCTTTGCTGTGTTGTATTTTGTAGTTTGTTTTAACTGAAATATTATCAGGGACGCAAACTCTGACCTCAAGTGGTCAGTCGAGATGCACTCTGGTGCCATGTGTGAACTGAAATCCATCTCAAGTACATCTAGACCCGATCTGGATCTATCTGGATACACATCCATATCGAACATGGTCTTAGTGTTGTTGTTTGTCCTGTAACTTCCCGTAAGGTGGAGCATGACGCAACACAATTACCGTACCGTGAATAATTCCTAGCGGGTCTGTTTTCCAGAAATAGTTCAGTGTTCTGTGCTGAGCAGATCTGTTCCCCTCTGTGCTAAATTTAGGGAGGGGAAAGGTGGAATGAGATTCAGGGGCCTCTGGGACATACTGGCCAGCGCCAGGGATGGACAGAGAGAAAGAGCCACCTAAATACCCCCCGTGTTGTTTTTAGATCCTTGTCCCACTTTCAAAACTCATGCATGTGCGTGCGTGCGTGCACACACACATACACACACACAAACAAACACACCCTGTGCAACCTTTCTGTCCTGTCCCCGATTCCTTCCCGGCAGAAATTTGACCATGAGTGTTGATACTATACAGCTAACTGACAGCACATGGAGACAAGTGTGTTTTTAAAAGTTAAACCCTTTCTGGCACTGAATGACCCCACACAAACAAACACACACACACACACACACACACACACACACACACACTCTCACTCTCAAGCTCAGTTTATACTACACATACACACACATAAACAGTCTCCCAGCAACAACACCCTTGAAGCTCAAATTCTCAACACACTCCTGAAGTGTCAAGTGTTTATGTGTGTGTGTGTGTGTGATGCAAAGCACACATTAAGGATGTATTCATAACTGTTCCAGAAACAACGACAGGAGGTTTTACTAAGGAGTGAGGGGTCCCCTGATTCTAAATTGGTTTAATAGGTTTGGACAGAAGTGTCACAGGAACATTCCTGCCTCCCTACCAGTCCTTTTGTGGAGCGTCAGCAAAGCATACAGTGCTACCTTGGTGACTCAAACACTGTCAATGGATTTCACTGATTCCCTTCAAGTCTTTTTAAACATCTTTTTACACACAGAAAAATTTATTAAAAATGTCTAATTCAGCATGTAACATTTGTCCTGGGTCAATCAGTCAGTGCCTTGGCACAAACAATGGAAAATCTCGTTCGAATAATTGATCACCTTTCACAATCAACAGGCTGCTCGATGTTTAACCCCCTTTTTCAAATAACACTGGAAAAGAAAACAGCGTTAAAAACACACACAAGGACACATTATCTACACACACACACACACACACACACACACACACACACTTTCTCTCTTACGCAGATTCACACAGCAGGGAACATGCACACTCGCATCCGCAATCAAAGCGAATAAACACACGCGCGCACACACACACACAATTAAATGATTACTTACAGATTAGAGAAACAACAGTATAAACAATAGTGCCAAATGTAGCTTATATATTACTAACAGTACCATTACATCAGCGCTAATTATATCACAAGAAGCCACTTTAATCTTCAAATAGGTAATCTTGTCAAACTTTCCACACTACACAATAATAATTAGGAAAAACAATAATTATAGTAATCCACTGCAGCAGTGTTTTTTAGCGATTGAGTGTGCTTATAATGCTATGGGTCAACAATGTTTTTTATATCATTGCAGAAAGGCAGCAAAGATAAGTGTCAACAGCATCTGGGTGTAAAATGTGTGCATTTAATATGTGATATGCTTTTCTACCTAGAGCCTGATATTGTAAAGTTTTTAAGCATAGTCATTTTCTTCTCATAGCCCAATACGGTGCACCCCCTTTTTGTTTGCAGATATGCAATTTACGGTGTCAACAATGGCAGATTCACCGCTTGAAATTCTTGGCAAGTTTTGAATTAATGGGGACTGATATCAGAGGCAGACAAAAGCATAGGTTTCATTTACAGCAGGCAACACTCATTTTTATTAGCTGAAATTACAAATGTCATTGGCAGATTTGAGATTTTATAGCTATTTCTCCAGACTATTCCGAAGTTTCCAGCTGACTTATTTTAAACCCAAGAATCTTGTAACTACTTTAAGACTACGACTAGACTAACTACGTCATGATGCTACATGATATCTAGACTGAGACTAAAGCAGCATGGCCCAGGCAGACAGTTTGCGTCCTCACCAGCTGACGACCCATGTGAAAGACATGGCTATAAAGAAGCAGCATTGTTCACAAATTGCAGTCAGTCATTGTTATATAACCCTGTGTTTTGCCTAGCTCACAGACTCGTTCTAACAGTAACCGTAACTACATAGTAGTGATGATGTTGCAGTCATGTGACCACAGTTTAGTTTGTTTATTGCCTAACGTTAGCTTCTGGTATCGCATTTACGCTTCAGAAATAAATAATAATAAGCGTGGTGTTTATTTGTAAAGATTATCTTGCTGAACAAAATGTATAACTATCACAAACCTTTGTTTGATGCTAACTTCCGGTTTGACTGAAAAAAATGTCATCCCAGCAGCACTCTGTTGCAGAGAGGGGTACAGTGGACGGTTAATTGCTTTTGACTTTTTTTCACAAATACTGTGTCATGAATAAGGTGTTGTTTTTTTACTTCATTCCTCTAGTATGTAACTGCTTATCTACTGAACTACAGCTGCTAAATACAGTTTGGTCAAAATAACAGAAACATCTGATAAAAAAAATGTAATCCAATGTAATGTCTCAGTCATAAATAGTTTGTGTCAGAGGGCGTTCATTTATAAAGTTGAAGTTTGTGGTGGTGATTTTGAAAAAAAAAAAAAAGGAAAACATGAATATATATATATATTTTCATGTTTTCCTTTTATTTCTTTTCAGCTGCTTTCTAGCAGGAATTTATATCTCTGACATGTGTCCCAGAAAAGCACCAACCATCATCACCCAGCTGCTTGTCTACTCTAGTGCTTGTGGACATTGTGTACCCAGATCTGTGCATGATTACACAAGTGTGGGTGTGTTCATATTATAGTGCCAGACAGTTTTAAATGTAAGGTTACTTACCCAGGCTGACTAGTGTGCGTGCCACCCACAAGACATCAGCAACCAGTGCAGGAAAGATCAGTGCACTGCTCAAAAAGTTCCCATATTTCTGTTGGAAGGGGTCCATCATCGTCACATACTTGTTCTCTCTCATAGGCTTGGCAAAGAAAAAGCCACCTGGAACATGAAGGAGGGATTAGTAGAGTCAAGTCAAGTCAGATTGTATTTATATAGTCCAAAATCAAAAATAGCAATTTGCCTCAAGGGGCTTTAAAAAAAAAATCTTTCCCTTGACACCATGAAGCCATCAAAACATGGCTATGTTTCTATCATTTATGAATCCAAATGAGAGAGAAAAGAAAGGAGAGGGTGAGTGGGAAAGAACAAGTGCGTGTGAACAACAAGAGAAAACAAGTGTTCCCTTCAGATAACACAATAAACACCTTCAGCTGAACTCGTGTTCACTTGGCCAACAATGGACAAGACCAGAACAGAGTGTTATATTTCCTGATCAGGGACTTTGGTGTTTCCAGTTCCCATTACTCTCACACCACCATGCAGGCCATTGTGACATTGGGGCCTGAGCGCTGATGATTTCACCTGTTGCAAATGTTTACAGACGAACCACAGAGTTTGTCAAGCCTTTTTCTCATATAAACTCCGGGACAATGTCCACAAGATCCGGTCCGGATATTGTCCAAAGTGGCCCTTTTACATGTGTAGCACACAACAAGACATTGTCCGTGTAGCATGTTTTTTTTTAAGGCAAGGGGTTGCACTTGGATAGGACTCATACGTAATGATGAGTTGTCAATGTTTTTGCGTTGATATCAATACTACATGTTTTTGGACAATATCAACGCAAAGCAATATGCAGGCGCGCAGAAAAGGTTACAGAGCAGCTATACTCGCCCATTTGCTTGCTGGGAATGCTCTATTCACATTAGCATTTGGACATTTGCGTTCACACATGCAGCTCATCCGTGCAATGTCCGTAAGAAGTGCAGTGTAGCAGCGCATGTGTGAATACGGCTTCAGTTTGATTAATTCAGGAGTAGGCAATCCAAGTCTCTGGGTGAACTCATCCCTTTGCACCTGTTGCTTCAAGTTACAATCCTGAAGTCATTTCTCATGGTCCTATTTTTAACATGAGCGACACTTTTATTGGTGCGTGGAGTCGGCTTGGAGGGTTTGGGGAGCTACGTTGCTGGTCAACAACACTCGAGACTGAAGTTTTCCTTGGTTTAGTGTAGTTTAATTGGTTAGTGTACTCGAGTATGCATGTGTTTGTCACTAAAATAATAGTACAGCAAATTACATTGTTGCTAAGCTAGTACCCGAGCGTCATTATCCCCACATGACTTGCATTAGCTACTGAGTTTAAAACAAGGGATGCATTGAATGTTACATGCTGACATGCTGACCTCACAAGCTCACCAAAAAAGATTTTACAGAAAAAAGACCAACGTTTGTTTTTCAGTGAGGCTTTCCAGTGTGTGAATGTTACCGGCCTTCCTGCCAACAACTGGTGTTCACTTCAGACCCTGCATAAAATACCTTAGAAAAGACTGTCTGTGTTAGGCTGCACAAAGTTCAGGACCACTTTCTCATTTGTATCTTTTCAAATATTTAATCCAGCAACGTGAGAATAACATGCACTATTAGTAATTTCATCAGCACGGTTGCATCAAATTACTTCTACTACTACTGACATCATTCATCTTGAAAAAGATGAAGACAGGAGGCGGGGGGATCAGGGTTTAAAGCATGAGAGTCAGTAATGCTACTCACCTAAGAAGAAGGTCAGGACATAAGGCACAGGCATGAGAGCCCACACTGCGCCTAGTGTTGGGTTGTATGTTGCCTCAGCTATACCGAGGATAAAGCCTCCACCCACCCATGTAGCTGTGAATATGTATGAGACAAACATACATATTAGAAGGAGAAACATGATGCAGACACTACACTAGCTCAAACAACCACTTTTTTTTAAGACACATCACCAGTTTTGGCTTGATTTTTTTGCCCCAAAACTGAAATTATTCATATTTAATGCCATAAACACTCAAAAGAATCAGCTGATGTCTAAACTGAACCCCCTTTACCAGTAAGAGTGAAGATGCCGACTAGCAGGTTGATGTTGCGCCCGGCCAGGAGTGTTATCTCCATGCCATCTCCTGTGCACTTCTTCTCCTCCTTCTTGGAGCGCATAGACGCCCAGATGCCCGTGCCCAAGATCAGCAGGTAGAATGCCGCCATCACTACCAGACCTGGTACATTGAGAACCATCCTGAACTACTTCTGTGTGTGTTTCCTGTTGAGAGACAGAATAAAGAAACAAAGTTTTGAGTTGCTGCAAATAGTGTTTGCAAAATGGACAAACAAAAAAAGAAAAAAAAAAATCACATGACAATACATATTCTCATTTACTTTTTGTGTAAAAACGACTTGCAGGACTGGCAAGAGGGGCGGGGGAGGCAAGTTTGCACAAATTCAAGTGTCATCTAAGATGGTTCTGAGAAACAAAAGGTACATTCATGCGCAGAAAGCTATAAAGCGCAAATGATACAAAATAATGAATAGAAAACAGTAGCATGTATTCAAATCAATGAACAGAAGAGGGTGAGTGAGGTGGAAAAGGAACTCTATACACTTCTTAAAGAAAGAAAAGTGAATAAAGGCTGCAGCAGAAAAAAAAGACCAGCAGCATCTCGGTTGACCTGGCTCTGCTTGCTTGGCAGATGGGGAGATGGGGTTGAGGAGAACAGCTGGGGTGGAGAAGGGGAATAAAAAGAAGGCAAGGATGTGAGGGGTGGAAGGATGAAGAGTCAGAGAGGCGAAAGGGGTCTCACCATAATACTTGGCAGCACTGACAAAGATGGCGGACAGATGTTGTCCCCCGTCTTCAGTGGTTGGGCGGCCCAAGTTTCGACCCCAAACATTGGGAAGTGAACACAACTCAGAGCCACGTTAGTGCGTACACATGTGTGTGTCTATGTGTGTGCGGTTACTGTGCATTGGACAGATAGTCTTCTTAAAAAAAAAAAAAGGATTAAAAGATGAGAAAAGCCTTTGCGTCTAAAAAAGGAGCGTTAATCTTTAACTGCTGGTTTGCACCTACTTGCACCCACTTCTCTGCACGTTAACATGGCTAATGTTGACTATACTGTATCAACTGTGTCAATGCAGACCAGGAAAAGTGCATGACTCAAGACATGTTTTCTATCTAAACATCACAGTAAGGCAGTTTCTTAGAAAAAGGTTTTGTTTATCATAGACAGAAAACTTAAACTAACTTATTATAAACAAAGCCATCACTGTCAGGGTGGAAAACAAGACATGGCTTCCCCCCAACGGGGGGAAAAAACACACATGTTAAACAAAAGGCTTCGGATTGAGTAATAAAACTCGAGGAAGAAAGAATGTATATCCACTTGGGAGAAAAAGGAGAGGAAAAAAGGAAATGTTTGTAAAAGGAGTGGACTGAAAAATACGTGTATTCAGCAAATATGTGTGTGTGTATGGCTAATGTTGACTATACTGCATCAACTGTGGTAATGCAGTCAAGAAAACGTTAAGTACTCAAGACAAGTTTTCTATCTAAAATATCACAGTAAGGCAGTCTCTTGGAAAAACATTTTCTTTATTACAGACAGAAACTCATTTATCATAAACAAAGCCATCATTGTGGTGAAAGAAAAAAAAAAAGACATTGCCCTCGCCCAGTGGAGTGAAAAACACATGTTAAACGAAAGCTTTGGCTTAAATCATAAAACTCGAGGAACAAAGAATGTATGCACTGGGGAGAATAGGCAGAGGAAAAAAAGGAAGTGTTTGTGAAAGGAATGGACTGAAAAATACGGGTAGGCAACAAGTACAGTATGTGTGGGGTGCCTGTATGTCAGGGCATGAAAGGAATGGGGGGGGGTGTGGCTCTCTGCCAACGTCAACAAGCGTTTGAAACGCTCACTCAAGTGGCCTGTGTGTTATTCCATGTCCTGTATGTGTGTGTGTGTGTTTGTGCACACTGTTACAGCCTTTACATACCAGACATTGCAGAGTTCAAACTGCATCTTTATGTTAGATTACAGCGCTGATAATTTTTTGGAACAAACCATATAGGTTCAGAGAAAGTGTGTGAGTGTGGCCAAATACATGAAACATTTTCAGCCAAAACTATAAATCATCTGGTGGCAACATAATCTGCTACCAGAAAAGTGAAAAATAAGGGTGTAACACAAGAAGCTAGGAACAGGATTTGACAGACTTGGTCTAAAAAAAGCATTAAAAACCCTGATGTGGTTTATTTATATGTTCACAGCCACCTACGAAGCTACGACAGATCCAGCAACACGGTTTTAAAGAAACCTATAATTTCCCTGCCTTATCAAGCGCATACACAAAACAACTTTAATAACCTATCACACACAAAGAAATACTCAATCACACACAGCGTCAAGTCACTGTTCTGTGAATGTCACCGCAGCAGTTTGCTTACTCAGGACCTGGTAACTTTCCACAACTCTTCCTGCACGGCTCAAGCATGACTACAATGCAGGCACTTTAACAGATGCAGCGCGCATCAGCTGGCGATATATCTATATAAAATGATATTTAACAGTACAATCATGTTTGCATTTGTTAGAATTTCTTGTTTAGCGTCATGGTTTTAGGTGTAGAAGAAGTGTCCCTCTTCCTTCCAGTTTAAAGACATCTTTTCAGTTTGTTTTATTTTCTCTCTGTTGCGCAAACCAAAAAAAAAAAAAAA